ACTGTCAAATCTTGAACCTTCTGTCTCTGCAGCTCGAGTCTAGCCCATGGCGTGAGCCCTTCAAGGAAATGAAACAACTTATCTCTTTCTGACATATCCTTTATATCCAACATCAAGGTTGAGAACTCTCTCACATACTCCCTTATAGTCCCAGTGTGGGATAATTCCTTTAGCTTCTTATGAGCATTGTAATCTACATTCTCGGGGAGGAAGGAGGTCTTCAACTCTTTCTTTAACGTATCCCAAGTCGTAATGGAGCACACTCCATCTTTGAACTTTGATCGCTACCATAACTTAACATCACCACCTAGCTACATCGAAGCCATTGCCACCTTATCTTCCTCAGACTCCGTGTGCATAGCTCAAAAATACTGCTCTATGTCAAATAAGAAATTCTCAAGCTCTTTAGCTTCCCTCACTCTATTAAAGTGTTGAGGATCAGGGATCTTGGCTCGTATGCCCACTCTTTTAATAGGGTTTGCGGTCAAACTAGCTACCGCTGCCGAAGCACACTGACTTGAGCCTTCAGCTCATCATACCCAAGTTGTATGACGCCTATGGTATCTCTTGCCTCATTGCCCAAATCAGTCATTGTCTCGAGAAAATCCTCTTGGGTCTCCTCGACTCTCCTCATACGATCGCCAGATATCATATGATCTCTAAGGGCCGCTAGTGCGACTTCGATCTCTTCTAGCTTCCGTCAATCAACCGAACCAGTCTCTTGCACAACTGGCTCGGTAGCTTCCTGCTCTACACCTCTGTGAGAGCTTGTCGATCCGCCATTTTTTGTGCGAACCATTCTCGATACAACCGGCTCAGTAACTTCCTGCTCTACACCTCTGTGAGAGCTTGTTGCTCTGCCATTTCGTGTGCGAACCATTCTCTGTAACTCGTTGGCAGCTCTATGCTTGCAACAAATAAGCACAATCGTGCCTAAATTAAGAAGGAAAAGAGCACTGCTGTGCTGAATCCATAGCACCTCTGTGCTAGAATTAACGATTGAGCACCTCTGTGCTTCAATCGAGAGCTGACACCTCTGTGTAGCCAAAAGTGATTGAGCACCTCTGTGCTTCAATCGAGAACTGACACCTCTATGCAGTTAAAAAAAATGACTGAGCACCTCTGTGCTTCAGCCGGGAGCTGACACCTCTGTATAGCTAAGACGATTGAGCACCTCTGTGCTTCAATCGAGGACTGACACCTCTGTGCAGCCAAAATGACTGAGCACCTTTGTGCTTCAATCTAAAATCTGGCACCTCTGTGTATTAGAAGGATTGAGCACCTCTGTGCTACAATCTAAAATCAAGCACCTCTGTGCTTTTACAAATGACCGAGCACCTCCGTGCTGCGATCTGCGGCCAAGCACCTCTGTGCTAGGTTTAGCACTTGTGCACAGCTGTGCAACAAGCAGGTAACAAGCACTATCATGCTTTACTCAACAAAATGAGCACCTCAGTGCTTTTAGTAAACGAACACGCACCTCTGTGCTCTGATACCAAGTGTTACAGACTTAGCCTAGTTGGTTCGGTTGCTAATCCGTGCGGCACTCGAAAGGGACGCTTCCCAACCAAGTCAGCCTTAATCTCGTAGATCTGATCAAACATAAACAAACATCACGTTAGATATTTATAGCCACATGGTCATTTGACCAATAATCCGAGCCCGTGGGGCATAGCGGATGTACACCTCAACCCCCGGACTTCTCTGAAAGAAAAATATTTTATTAATAAAAGAAATATCGGGTTACAGAAGACTCACCCACACCATCGATTAGGCCGTAGGGATGGCCCTCGATGGTGTTTACAAGACACGTACCTTTACATGTGGATCAACCCAAACTCTGCCGGTTGTCCACCCCCTACATATATGCGAAAACAAAATAATAGAAATGCTACCTATAGACGTTGAAATGCTCGAACAGGGGACAGTAAGTCATACCCCCACTCCCTACCCAAAATATTGAAATGCTTGAAAAGAGGACAAGCTTATTCTACCCTGCCACTAGGCCCTATACATGGTTGGCCTTGGCGTACCTACCCGGTTGTGGCCCCATAAAAGGGATGGTCACGATACTTAGTTGCCTGTTTTATCAACAATGAGAGACTTCTCAGCTTCCTTGGGGGAATTTTGCAGAAGAATTGTGTCTCCCTAATATCTCCATATCTGCTTGGTGATTATATCCGCTGTTTAATTGGCCTCTCTAGGTATGTGTTTTAATTCAACCATCCAATTTTTCTTTATTAATTTCTCTATATACTGCAAAATAGTTAGTTTCTCTGCTGTCAGATTCTAAAATTACTTTTCTTTCACCCTTCATCCAAGCAACATTTAATCCCTCATGAATGCCCCAAAGTTCTGCTTCCAATATGGAACAAGTCTCAATTTTCCTACCAAAACCCCAAAGCCAATTTCCATTGTAATCTCTTGCAATTCCCCCGCACAAAGCTTCTTCCGTGTTCTGTCGTTTGGTCCCGTCAGTATTAACCTTGCAGTATCCTGTCTGGTTTCTACCATTTGTATTGGTTGCTATTTTTGATTTGGGTATTTTCGATTTTAGTAATTTCTATATTTTGGAGATCTTGGGTATGTCTTATGGCTTGTTGAATAATAGAGTCTCTTTTGATCATTTCTGAGTCAAAAATCACCTGATTTCTTCTTTTCCAAATGTACCAGATAACCGAGCTGAAGAAGGTAGACCAGTTTTCAATTCTAGGCGAAGGGGATTGGTTTGTTTCGATATTTTCTATGATCCATTCCTTGGTCTTGCTACTCAGAAACTTGTCCATTTTCTAGTTACCTAGCAGTTCAGTCCTTATCGGCAAGGTTTTTGGGCAGAATCTCAGTATGTGGTTGATATCTTCTGTCTCATAATTACACATAGGGCAACTTTCATCCACTGTCATATGCCTACGAGTTCTTTCCGAGTTGGTCAGTAATCTGTCGTTTCCTACAAGCCATAGAAAAGTTTTAATTCTAGGGATATTTTTATGTTTGGCAATGGTGTACTAGATTTTTTTCCTCCATTGAATTGATATTTGCTATTTTCTTGTAGGCAGATTTGATTGTGAAGACTCTTTTCTCCGAGAGAATCCAGCCTGGGGAGTCTGCAATGTTTTCTTTTACTGGAGGAGGTAAAGCTTTCAACTTATTAATGATTTGATATGGGAGTAGTCGAACAATCTTGTTCCAGTCCCAGGTACTATTCTGGTTAATCATTTCCTTAACTTTGGATCTGTCATTCTCCACTTCAATCGGATGGTTGTATAGTCTGGATAGAGGGCCATTGTTATCTAGCCATATGTCTTGCCAGAATTCAACTTGATTTCCGTTTCCAATGTTCTAGCAAATATTCTGTTTAAATTCTATCCATAGGATGCATATGTTGTTCCAAAGAGCTGATACTCCCTTCTTTGTTAGCTTTTCAGGCAGTCTCCCTTCCATCTTGTATTTATTTCTCATTACCTGCACCCATAAAAGATCATTTCTATTAATAAGTTTATAAGCTAATTTAAAAAGGAAAGCCTTGTTTTGGATCCTTAAATTCTTAAGGCCTTGTCCCCCTTCTTTGATCGATTTACATAGCGTATCCCAGTTCACCAGATGTATTCCTTTCTGCTCATTTGTTTGGCCCCAGATAAAATTTCTGGTAAGTCTCTCAAGTTCATCACACGTTCCTTTAGGAATTAGGATGGACTGCATGGTATATGCTGGAATTGAATTGAGTACCAATTTAACAAGAGTAATTCTTCCCGCTAATGATAATGTCTTTGCCTTCCAACCTGAGAGCATGTTCTTTACTTTCTGAATGATGTTGCTATAAGTTATTTTATTGATCCTGTTGTGTAACAGTGGGACCAGGTAATTCCCAAGATTGTAGACCTCTTTGATGTCAATCGTGTTCGTAATGTTGCTTCTAGTTTGAACGTTAATATTGCTAGAATAATATATATTAGATTTATGCATATTAACTTTCTGACCCGAGCTATTGCAGAATTTTTGGAGAGTATTTTGGATAATTCCAATTTGGGAGTTGTCTGCTTCCGCCAAGAGTATAAGGTCATCTGCAAAAAAGTGGTGAGAAATGTTAAGGTCATTTCTAGATAATTTAATTGGTTTCCACTTACCTTGTTCCACGGCTAAAGCAATTTCTTGCGCTAGCCTTTCCATACAGATGGCAAACAGGTTAGGCGAGAGGGGATCCCCCTGTCTAATTCCCCTTGATGGTTTAAAAGGCTCCGGAAGTTCTCCATTCCAATTAATTTGGATTGTCATGGAGGTAATACAGTTCATAATAGCCAAAATAATTTTATTAGACAATCCCAATTTCTCAATGTTATCCTTAATGAAGTTTCAATCTAATCTGTCATATGCTTTTTCCATATTAATCTTGATGGCCAGGTACCCCTTCTTTCCTTTCTTTTTCTTCATAGTGTGAATCACCTCTTGAGCTAGGATTATGTTGTCAGTAATAACCCTTCTTGGTACAAAACTAGTTTGGCTATTAGAGATAATAGAAGGAAGAATAGACTTTAGGCAGTTAACGATAACTTTGGTTATAATTTTATAGGTAACCTGACAGAGGCTTATAGGTCTAAATTGGGTAATTTTATCAGGGTTATCTACATTAGGGATTAAAACCAAACATATTTTATTTAAAGCTTCTTCAATCTGACCACCATTGAGGCAATGTTTGACTAGATAACAAACCTTTTCTCCAACTGTATCCTAATTTTTCTGAAAAAAGTTAGCATGAAACCCATCAACTCTTGGAGCTTCTAGGGGCTCATACTGAATAGTACATCTTTAATCTCAATATTATCGAAATGTTTATCCAGCCAGCTCCACTGCTCATGAGTCAAATTAGGAAAAATGTCTATTATTCTCAAGAGATTGCCTCACTAAAGGGTCCTTAGTGAAAAGATCCTCGTAGAATTTCTTCACATGGCTTTTAAGCTTTTCTTGGTCCTCACACCAATCATCAGATTCTGTTTTGAGGGCAGTTATAAGTTTTTCATGCCCTTAGTAATTGCACATGAGTGGAAGTACTTGGTATTTTTGTCTCCGTGGGTAATCCATTTGCATCTCGCCCTTTGAGCCCAAAGAAGATCTTCTTGTCTTAGGATTGTTTCTAGCTCAATCTTGAGCTCAGCTTCAAGAGTAGTCAGTCTGGTAGAGTTATAACAACGAAGAGCTTTATTAATACCTTTTAGCCTAGTAACTAATTTTTTCTTCTTCTGGTTGATATTACCAAAAACTTCACTATTCCAAACCTTGATGCTTTCCTTGATATGTGTGAGGCTTTCCATAAAGTTATCATGTTTAACCCATTCTTTTTTAATAAACTGCTCAAAGTCTGGGTGCTCCATCCAATCTGCCAGGAATCTGAACTGTTTCTTTTTATTCCCTTTGGGGCTGTTTATAGTATGCAAAAGAATAAGGCAATGATATGATCCCGTTCGGTCAAGGTGGTGAACTCTAGTATCTGGGTATAATTCTAACCATTTTATGTTCATAATGCATCTATCTAGTCTTTGCCATAGGTTGCCACGTCTCCAAGTAAATTCATCACCCTGGTACTTAACATCAATCAAATATTTGTTGAATATGAAGTCTTGGAAGTATTTACTCCCTCCTCTGAAACGATTGCTACCACCAATTCTCTCATCAGGTTTCAGGATACAATTAAAGTCTCCTCCTAGGATCCAAGGTTCATTATTGCAAGGTTTGAGCTTTTCTAGGAGATCACATAGTTTACATCGAATGTTGGGGTTGGGGCTAGCATAAATTGTTGTAAAATAGTTCCAGCAGTTGCTGCTACTATCCTTAATAGGTGCATGGACATACTGTTTGGAAATACTTAAAATTTTAACCTTTACCAAATTATCCCAAAGTATCCATATGCCTCCACTGTGACCCTGAGCTTCGATTCTGAAAGAGTTAATGTATCCCATATTGTTGATAATTCTGTCAACTCTCTTGCCACTTGTGTGAGTTTCCATCATGGCAATGATCTTGGGTTTGTGAACAATCACACAGTCTTTGAAACATCTTCTAAAAGAGGGTTTAACAACCCCTTGAGTATTCCAAAAAAGAATCTTCATAACTATTGAGGTAATGGGTAGGTGCTTTGTGACAACTCTTTTTCCTTCTGTTCTCCTTCTTGACTCTGTTCCAGATCAATTTGCTCTATTGTTTGAACTTGATTGGTTGTAAAAGTGCTATTATCAGGAGGTGCCAAGTTATCGAGATTCATGGTATTTTCTTAGAACCATTCCGAAAGTAACTGAACGTTAGGACTGATAGTAGGTTTAGATTTTCTAATTTTAAGGCCTTTTTTGGTAATGTTGGAAACTTGTTTTGATTTTTTATTGGAGTTCCATCTAGAAGTGAGATTATGATTGTCATTTTCATGAATGGTAATTGATGTATGTATTTCATCTCCCACTGTTACCATGTGTTCACTGATTTGGGCATTTTTATTCACCATGACCTGGATCCCTCCTAAGTTCACCTCCTTAGTATTGTCTTTACTCGCTGTCATTTCACTGTCAGTAATAGGGACCTCAAATAATTTATCTTCAGTTTCAAGGATATTGTGAGTACTTTTTCCCTGGGTCTTGTCTGTATTATCAGTTTGAGGTAATGTGTTTTTGTTTCTCATTATTTCTCTACCTCTCATTATGTTCTTCATCTGATCTGTTGAAATGTTTGTTTTTGTAGCAGGTGTTTGAATACCATTTTCCTTCCTTTGATGCTGGTAAGTTTTATTGCTTTCTCTGGAATCTTCCTCTAATTGTTCTTCATGAAGAGGGGCAAACCTTGATCCTTGTCTTGATGATCCTTCAACCTCTTTGTTTCTATTTCGAGTTCTTTGAACTCTACTGTTTCTTCCTCTTGATTGAACAACCATCCAAGGACCAAAGGGATTTTCTTTACTTATTTCAACATTGGCTTGTTCTTCAATAGCATTGCTAGTGTTGGAGATATCCACCTGCTTTTCTTCTTGGTTGGTTTGACAGACTTCTTTTGCATGTCCATAGGTACCACAATTGAAGCAGATTTGTTGCAGACCTTCATATTCAATCTTTTGAATGAAGTCATCAATTCCCACGCATGGAATAAGAGGTTTGTTCATATCGATAACAACTGCAATTCTTGCAAATTTCCCCTCTCTCCAACTTTAGTATTATAATCAATTTTGATAACCATTCCAATCGTATTCGCAATTGTTCTGATTAACACTGCATTGTAATACCAGTAAGGTAGTCCAGGTAGTCGCAGCCAGGCGATAACTTGTGAATGATGCTTTTCAGATGTGGTAAAGTTCCTCGACCATGGTTGAACAGTCAGGTAATTTCCATATATCATCCAAGGGCCATAAGTGAGAACTCTATTATAGTCTTCCATATTTTCAAACTTCACTAAATAGTAGTCATTATCAAGATCTATTAAGTTGAAGTTGCCTATCGACATCCATAACGCCTGGATCCTGTTTAACAACGCTTTATATCCAATCTTTTTTCCCAACAGTCTAGTGATAATAACTTGTTTCATGTTTCGATCAATCAGATCATGGATTCGCTTTGAGAAGCTTATTATAGAAAATTCTCCAGAGCTGTCCATGGTGATATCTCCTTCATGGAATACTATCTCTTCTTCAGGCATCTTGACTGGGGAATTCTTGTTTAGAATCGATCCCCTGGCAGCCATGGCAGCATAAGAGATTTTCTCAGGACTCTTGAGATGTCCTTTGATCACAACTCCTTCTTCTTGGGAATAATCTTCAGTCTGCATATTCTCCGTTTGTTGAATTGTTTCATCATCTTCAATTGTTAATTCCCGATTCTTTACTTTCTTTGTGGCTCTTTGATCTTCTTGGGCACTAATGATGTTCATCTTAAGAGAGAATTCTTTGTTCTTTTAAGATTTATTTATTGTTAGTTATTTATAGTCACTTTTGAATTAACAACCTAATAACATAATTGAATTAATATTAAAATCAAATGATATTTAATATAGTTTACCCTAAATGATGAGACCCATTGAAAGGCTCTCGTTTATCACCTCCAAGCCCACTCTCTCAACAACTTGGCCCTCTTTCTTCTACAAAAGGGAAACAAAACCCCACCTTTAGCCTTCTCACCTTTACTTCACAATAAATAATCTGAATCAATTATGTATAAACTTATTATAATACGAACCTTTCATAATGTACAACATTTTTTTTTAACTTCTACACCTATTAAATAATCACATTTTGTTACGTATTTATATCAAATAAATAACATTAGCAACATTTCAGACTTAAAAGATATGTTCACATACTTTAAATTATTAAAATGGAAGCATTTCGGGTTTAAGTCACTTTGTTTTTCTATTTAAGAAAATCCAAAAAAAAAAAATGGAAAATTTTCCAAATTTTTTTATAACATCTTTTTTAATATTACGAATTTGTAAAATTAAAAGTAATCTAATAGTACTCTTAGTGATAAATTAAGCCATAGGTGTGATACATGGAAAGGGTGAGACAAGGAAAAGGTGTAAACATGCACGTCTTGCTGTCGCTGGGCAACACCGGACTTGACAATAGACATCCAGCAAGCAGTCATTAGCTGTTACAATTGGTTTCAAACATTTTCTACCCGAAATAATGCTCTATTCGAACCTAAGATCCACAGCTCGGTATATCCGGTAGCCAGAAAAACTCATTAAGAACTTGTAATATAGGGGACAAGAGTGGTCATGTCAGTCGGAAACATCAAACAAAGATCATATACTAGCAGATATGAACAAGAAAGATATTACATGGTGTATTTACTTACATTCCCAGGTTGAGAAAGGGGGTGAAACATCTTTACAAAAGGGGAGGCTGCAAATGCAAGGCCGATGTAGCCATGCTTGAAAGTTGAATTCAAGTGTACATATATAAATCAGACACCATTCACTACTACCACCACCACCACATGTCCAAAATTAGATTATACCACCACATGTCCAAAAGATTATACCACCACCTCCATATATCGGATCTGATTTCTGAAAAAGCTTGCTGCCAGACACTTTCAACCTGATGCCTACACCAAAAGCTGAAACAATTAAAGGGGTGCATGTTCTTATTTAATAACATGGTATATTCAACCTGATCAGTTTTCACTTTCCTGATCAAAACAAGATCCATTACTTAAATGCAATTATACACACCTATAATATTATCCGGAAGCATTAGAACCAAGGTTAACAATTCTTTGCCCCAGCTGTTGAAGGGGACATTTCACTTCTTTTGCATCTAATCCTTTGCTAGAAACCGGATTGTCGTCACCCTTTGAATTCAATGACTCCGGCTTCATCTTCTGAACCTCCTCCCTAGTGTAGATACCTACCTTACGAACCATGGTACAAACTCCCTAGTCACAAGCAGTAATTAGGTATCAAATATAAGAAACAAGAAACGTAATAGAATTTAGTTAGCAATACTTACTGCCAGGAATCGTATTATAATTTAGTTAGCAATACTACTGCCAGGGATCATCTCCAACAAGCATCATATCACCCTCATCATCGGTGTATACGACGAGCCAGTTCTTTTTAGAGGCCAATAGTTCACCTCCAAGTTCAAATAATTGATCCAATTCAGCCATCAATTCATCATAGTTGTTGAACTTTGTAAGGTCCACAGACCTACCAAGAGCAGTCCCTTGCATTAGAACCTGAAAAGAAAATACACATTTAGCAACATAATCATTGCAATAGACAATAAGAGCAGATGTACATCTTCAAGGAGAGAGAAACGGAACCTTAGTGCAACTCCGAGCTGAGGCGTTTGGAGATTTGCTTTCAACCTCCCTTGTATGAGGTTGACTCAGATGAAATGCTTTCTCTGATTCACCAAAAGTAGATGGATTCTCAGCCAACTGAGAGATCTTTGACTGTTCGGACTTTCGATCAGATGCAAATGTCTGAACATGGTTTGGTGCAGTTTCCACTTGATCTGCTGCCTTATTCGACGTATTAAGGTGAGACTAGGGGCTCAGATGCAACATTACTAATGAGAGGAATACCAAAGAGCTTACAACTTCCTTCTCTAGATTTTCCGTTATCATGATCTTGACCCGATGAAGCTTTGGGCATTAAATCCCTCGATTGGACAGGATTCTCATAATTAGATGATGTTGGGGGAGGCATCAACAAGTTTCCATGTGGGTGCTCGATCCTATTACCTTGGAGTATAGGATACTCGCCAAAACCACCAAATCTGCCATTTCCTCGAGCTTGATAAGGCACATCAGAACATTGCATAGGAAGCTTAGTAGTAGTGTCAACCATCTTGAGTGAGACACCAGAAGACATTTGGGACCAAGATCCAAGCTTCCCTTCTTGATCAAGTAATTGTTTTCTCATAGGATAACAGCCTAATAAAGTTTGATCAACCAAAGATGTACAATACCCAAGGGGTAATCAACATTTGACCTAAAACCTGAGAGCAAATCTGTGTACGGTGGTTCATGCCTCCCAGATGACATCCAATTATCTGACCCAAATCTTCTTGAAGCGGAAACCACATCATTCTTCTCATCATCTACTGAAGGTTGCCACATCACTGACTTTTCGGCGGTGTCAGACTCGTTACTCTCAGCAAAGTTGCCTCTCAAGGTCGAGAATTTTTGACCTTGCAAGACCCTTGAAAACTCACTAGTTGGTGAAGGGTCTACAGTAACTTTGGATGAACCTAGAAAATTAACTTAATTTAATAAACCATACCAGAAGAGCTGTTACTTGAAAAATAATAAACCACGTTGCATGACAAGACCTACCTTCCCTTGTCAGCACAGAAGAATCAGGGGACGAAGGGACTGCATTAGATCGAGGCCTTTTTGGCCTGGGCATTGGAAGGGGGTCAGTACAGGAGGCCAAAGTAGGTTCAATTTTCCAAGGAGAAACTCTCAGGGCGAGGTATGGTAGAAGCCTCATCCCATCGAACCTATTAGGGACATTAGAACCTCATGTCAACATAAGCATAACTTGAGATATTCTACAATTTGTTTCAGTATTGTAAAAACAAATTATCAAATGTTTGCTCAAGTTAAAATCTACCTTGAGGCAT